TATGGTTGGACACAACGACAACCTTGTCAATGGGGAATACCTTTACCTTTAGCTTTTCACAATGTTGACTCAGCTTGTGGTCTACTAGGACTCCTAGATTCCTTTCGCATGTACTGTTGTTAAGCCAGGTGTTCCCCATCCTATCTCTATGCATTTCATTTTTTTTCCTGCCTAAGTGCAGTGCCTTAGATTTCTCACTGTTAACTTTCATTTTGTTAGTTTTGGCCCAGCTTTCTAATCTATTAAGGCCATTTTGAATTTTGATCCTCTCCTCTGCGGTATTAGCTGCTACTCCTAATTTGGTATCATCTGCAATTGAAGCATGCCCTCTATTCTTTCATCCAAGTCATTGATGTTGAATAGCACTGGGTCCAGGATCACTTCTCTCCAGGATGAAGAGGAGCCATCGCTCAGCACCCTTTGGGTTCAGCCAATCAACCAATTACAAATCCACCTAACAATCACATTGTCTAGTCTGCATTTTACTAGGTTTGCTTGTTTGTTTGTTGCATTAAGAAATTTCCCACTGCTGCTCCTCCATGGAATATCATTTCTTCTTACCCTGATTTTGGTGTACCAAGGAAGTGGAGGGAAAACAATTCATGGAAAGAAATTCTTTTTTGGCTCTCAATGGCTCACAACTCAGAAAAGTAATTTTACAAAATCTTTCATAAATGCATCCCAGTTAGTATTGAGCACCGCCCTATTATTTGGCTTCAACAATTCAAAGGAGTGAGTTCCAGAATTGTACATATCCCATAGTTAACCTTTACAGATGGTATTATCCTACAGACACACACTGTGACCTTCATTCTAAAGCATTGTTAAAACATCATATTATGCCATTTAAAGACTCATACGAGACTCCTTGTTAAGAAGCTGGAGTGTATCCAGAGGGGGGCAATTGAAATAGTGAAGGGCCTGGAAACCATGCCTTATGAGGAGAGATTTAGGGCAAGCTTGTTTTCTGCTGCTCCAGAGAATAGGACCCGGAGCAATGGATTCAAAGTACAGGAAAAGAGATTCCACTTCAACATTAGGAGGAACTTCCTGACAGTAAGAGCTATTTTAACAGTGGAATATGCTGCCTCCGAGTGTGATGGAGTCGCCTTCTTTGGAGGTTTTTGGACAGAGGCTGAATGGCCATCTGTTGGGGGTGCTTTGATGGTCTATTGCTGCATGGCAGAATGGGGTTGGACTGGATGATTCTATCATTTCTTCTTCTGCTTTTTTCCTCAGTTGGGCTCCCAGATTTCAAGCAATAGATGATCCACTCAGAGAAACGAGGGGAATCTCCAAGAATGAAGGAGAAGATGGAGAAGGCTGCCCTCTTGCGCAGCCACGAAAATGGTACATCTTATTTCCCCATTTGTATATTTGCCTATGTGTTTGTTTTTAATACAGTTTTATATGTGCGTTATACAAATACAAACTAGAAAAATCTGCTGTCTGTTTGTAAATATCTAGTTTAATTGAAATAAATCATTCAATTTAAAAATATCTATTTGGTTACAATGTTAAGGCTAAGATTATTTATTTATTTATTGAAAATAGAAGTGTTTAGGTAGTTAGTTTCTCTGACATAACTGTCTTGGTTTCAGTAAAATTACAGCAGTGTATACCTTCAGACCATGCAGTGTGACTATCATTTCTGTAGGATAATACTATTTCTGTATGTAAAAATTACTGTATGTTAATTAAATTAAATTAAATTAATTAAAAATTAGAAAGGATGACAGCAGTTTACATTTAGGATGAATATGTCTTCCCTTCCTCCTTCAACCTCCCAATAACAATTCTAGATTTAAAACTTGGGTTAATCTGTTAACTTATGGGTTTTATTAATTAGGTTTATCTCACATACTGTCTCTGGTCCTGCAAGAGCTGAGTCTGTTGTATAAGAGAGACATCAATGGGGTTGGTGTGTTATATGACCTGCTAAGATCACCATGGCTACAAGCTCTCCTCAAGGTAAGGTCCCTTTCAAAGAGAAGTCAGCGATTTGACAGCTGCTGTGCCTTCTTACCTTCTTAGCGTTCTTTAGATGTGGCTGACCAGATGTTTTATTGGGCAACAAATCCTATTAGCCTTAGTCAATGTAGACAGTAGTGTGGGATAATGGGAGAAGGAGTCCAACAACATCTAGCATGCCTCCTCTTCCCCATTCCTGACCTGAACAAATAGATTTTGGAGTGTATTTTCAAGCGCTGTTCCTTTTAATGGTTCTTAGTACTGTGTGGATTATAGTGACGGAAGACAATTCCTGGGAAAATAATGCAGCTTCCCCACTCATTGCCGACGGTCAGTGATTGTTGCAGTTTTCTCCTGTAGATTCAAGTATACATTAATTTTGCCTAACTAAGGGGCTTTACAGACTGCCAGAAATAATGCAACTTGAGTCCACTTTAACTGCCCTGGCTCAGTGCTAGAGAATCATGGAAATTGTATTTTTTTTTCTGAGACACTGAGCCTTCTCTGTCAGAGAGCTCTGGTGCCATAATAAAATACAGTTCCCATGATTCCCTAGCACTGAGTCAGGGCAGTTAAAGTGGACTCAAGCTGCATTATTTCTGGCAGTCTGTAAAGGCCCTAAGATGCATTAAACCGCATGTAAGAATTGCCATGCCATCTCAGTTAGTGATGAACCATCCAAAACATCAGCTTCCTTCCTGGGTCTCTAATGTTTCTCAGATCTAGATGTTTCCAGAATTTTAACATGACAAAATGTTAAAATAAGATGTCTGCCATTTCTCTCAAGTTTATTTCCTGTCTTTTGGAACCAGTAGCGTTCAGGCAGATTTTGGTCACACCTGCACAACACTACAAGCCTGGAAACTCTGCCTGATCACTTAGGAGCAATATGCTTGTGCTTGTTGCCTGCACACTTCAATTTGCAAACCATGGCGCTTTACTATGTGATTTGCATACTGTGTTGCCAAACACACTGCTTGCTTGCTTGTTTTGTGAGTAAACTAGACAAATAACCTTAAATCACATCCTGCATTTGTTCCCTTGTTTGTGTAAAGAGAAACAAACAAGACAAGTTTGCCCATGTTGGAGTAAAACAAACCATGGAGCAAAGTTGCTCCTGCTACAAGGAAGAGCCATCGGTTAGCATGCACCGGTACTCTGCTTGTACAGTTGGCCCTCCATTTGCCATTTTATGTAAGGGACACAACTTCACTATGCCATTGTATTTAATGGGACTTGAGCATCCATGGATTTTGTATCCACAAGAGTTCCTGGAACCAAACCCCAGCAGATACCAACGGTCCACTGTAATAATAATAAGTGAGGATGCCCATGGTTGTCTGACTTAAATCATGCAACGACAGTCACAGTGGCCATCCTATCTCATAGTGACAAATCTTCCCCGTTCTCCTTAATTTTAGACTATTCTATTTTTAAAAATGCAGTCATGTTTTTCTTTGCTTCTATTATTTATTCAGTGTCATATAAACAGCATTTTATAGATGTTCATCAGCATAGAAGACAGGTTCCTGCCCTTAGAGAGTGTATGTTTTGAAGTTTGACATCAGAGAAGGGAGATAGAAATAAGCAAAGAACAGGATGACTGGACTCAAGTGCAATTATTTAGCTTTGGACTTTGCTGCAGTTACTACTACTACTACTACTACTACTACTTCTGCTTAGAATTGGGACTCAAAGTAGCTCACAATTTAAAACAATGATACAATTTAAAACCAACAAAAAGAGAACATTAAAATAGAATTAAACTGTTTGCAGCATTCAAACATGTCAATTTCAATAAAATAATAAAATGCAATTTAAACGTATAAAATCTCTTAACAGTTCAGTTAAGACAATATAGGCTTTTTTAAAAAAAAAAAAGCCTGTCTAAATAAAAAGGTTTTGGTCTGCTGCTGGAAGGACAAAAAGGCAGGGGCAATTCTGGCTTTCCTGGGAAGGAAATTCCACAGTCTAGGGGCAGCCGCTGAAAAGGCCATCTCTCATGTTCCCAACAACCATGCTTACGATGAGTGGTGGACTGAGAGAAGGGACTCTGTTGATCTCAGAGCCCAGGAAGCTCATATAGGAAGATATGATCTGCCAAGTAGCCTGGACCTGAGACATAAAAGGGCTTTATAGGTTATAACCAGCACTTTTAGTTGTGCCCAGAAACTAATTGGCAACCAGTGGAGCTGTTTGAACAGGGTCATTGTGTAGTCTCTGT